AAAAATTCCCCCCTTGGGCCGGTGCATTTAACTTGTAAGATACATTTTCTCTCTTTTGTTTTTTCTTAGTTAGCCATCACTGGCTGGAATTGCTGGTTAGAATACTGCATGTTATTTAAGCTAAAATTCAAGCCATCTACGAAAGACTTCTCGTTGAGCCCCCCATAGGCAGCAAACACATCAAAGGCATTACTGTACTGGAGAGGACTGAGGTTAAGGGGGCTGTCACCTGGGAACATTCCATTGGTACTACGACCTTGACCCTGCATGTTAGGAAAAATAAATTCCTTGGCATTGGGAGACAGAGCAGAGGTTTTCTGCTGTGGCTGCTGCGGCGGTGGTGGAGGCGGCGGTGGCTGGGACGGCTGCTGCGGCTGCGGCTGCTGCTGGCTGCCCAGGCCCAGACCGTACAGCGAGTGCATTGAGGAAGAGATGGCTTTCTGCTTCAGGAGGTCGTTCACATTCAGGCCGAGGTTGATCGGAGAAGTGCGTGCCACCTTGTTGCTTCGGCCACTATTCTTCATTTTGGTAGAGCCGAACTTGGTGGCAGCAAAAGTGGCAGTGGTAAAGGTTAAAGGCTGAGTGGACCGGGGCATGAAGGTAGGGCTGACAGCAGCAGAGTGGCCAAAGGGAGGCGATGGAGAGCTGGACACCGAGGAGGCAGGGTCACTTATGGGCATGAAAACCTGGGCCTCTGGGTTAAAGCTGTTTTTGATCTCCTTATCCAACTCACATCCATTTTCATTATTGTCATCCACATAAAGCACCTTGACTGGTCCCTTCTCACCAATTTGATAGGAAACCTCAAACGGGTCGATCCAAACACTAAGATCCTGCGGCAGATTGCCACGAACATCATCAATGTCCAAACCGCTCTCTTTGGATGCTTGTTCAATCACGGGGTCCACTTTCTCCCCTACATGTATACACCTAAACCCTGATCCTTTGTATGGCTTTTCAGGATACCAGTGTCCTTCATATTTCTTCTTAAGGAGTCTTTCAAGCTCTTCACCAAAAATGTTGACACGTCTCCTGGGAAGCTTATTGTACAGATATGAGATAATAAAATTTAGTGCTACTTGAATCTCAAGCTGCATAGCTGCTGTGCCACAAGTCAGGCTTGTCTCAACTTCTCCACCAGAAAAATAAAATCAAAAAAATCAGTTTGTGGCAGAGAAACAAATTCTCATTCAAAGTGCTGGTATTAGTAGGTTACCCTTCAACCTTTCCTGGTCTTGTTCCTTTAAAAACAAAACAAAGGCAAACACATCCTGGTAAGATGACCATAGTATCTCCAGAGCTGTTAAAAGTTTACCCACTGCAATTTTACTTTTGAAAATATCTAATAGGCTAGAAAGCCTGGAAAATAGAATCAGAACCAAATAAAGGAACAGAAACTAAGACAATAGAAAATTACTTATTGACCTTCCATATCTCGTGAGACACAGATTTACCGTTCAAACAGCATTTTAAATTCTTACTATTTACTGTTTCTGAATAGAACTTCAGAAGAAAGCCATCTCCAGAATACAGATCTTTCTTTTCCTCAACTGTCAGAGTATTTACTAGGAACTGTTCACTCACCCTCACTTTCAGAAACTGGTCATTAATTTCCTTGCTATTCACCACTTTAGAAGTGAATTCTGTATCTCAGCTCATTTTTGAAACATGTTTAAGTCTGTTCTACCTTAAAACTGGCAATCTGAGAAGTTACACAAATTATTTTAAATTTCAAAGTACATAGTGCTAGAATTAAAGGTACTAAATGAACTGTCACCCTAGTAAATGATAATTAGGAACCAAATTATCCCCTATAGGTATGGTCTTAAACATGCGAAGGGCACACTATATAATAATTGCACTTGTTCGTAATTTTTTTCTTTTCATCGTGTATTCCTCCACCCGCCCAGAAATCTGAAATTCCTTTCAGCAGCAGGTATAACAAAAGCCACCACCAACTTAAAGCAATTATTGATTACTCCGTGTAAACTGCAGGGTTTCTCAGTTTTAATTTTTAAAAAAACACCTCCTTCTCTGTCAGGATAAACGACAGCCGGGAGAGAGGCATGTAGGATAAGGTCGACCTTTAAACGTTTGCTGGATCAGCACTGGGTGGGGATAAGAAAAGATCAAGGGCAAACAGAAGATACTTCCAAAGGAGATCTCTTACTAAAGTTGATCAAAAAGGGCATTAAAAAAAATCAAGTTGGTGTTAATCCGTCTGTTCCATTTTCCATATTCTTGGTGACAAAGGGCAGAATCTTTCGTCTTTGCCCCCAAACTACACTTTCCAAGCCGAAAGCCGAGCGCCCGCAAAGGCAGCTGATTAAGCTGGATTGCTTTAAGGTGCAGCCGAGCGAAATTCAGGCTCGGTGGAAGGTAGTTTTTAAAGCAACGCCTTAAGACAGAGCTGTGAAGAATTACATAAACAGCCAGTTGGGTCTCATTAGATTTCTGCTCACAGCGCTGGGAGCCCAAGCGCTACGGCGGCGGCAGCAACAGCCAAGGGAGGTGGAGGAGGAGGAAGAGTACGAGCCTGCTCAGGGAGGAGGACGAGGAGGAGGAGCGCAGCCCCGGGAAATAGAAAGCAGGCTCTCCGCGGGCACCGGGCACCAGGCAGCCGGGCCACCTCCCCTCCCCCGCCGTAACCTGACCCTGCCATCCCCTCCCTCCGCCGCCCGCTCGTGGCTCCTGGGATGCGGCCAGCGCCCCGGAGCACCGGTCCCCCGGCCTGACCCGGGACCCCGGCACCCCCTCCCCCGCCGGGCCGCCGCTCCTCCAGGCCGCCTGTCGCCGGTCCCCCGCCCAGCTCCGGGCCGAGCCCGAAGCCGCTCCGGGCCCGTCCTCGAAGCCCGGGCTCGAAGGACGCTGCAGCCCCTCCCTCGGTGCCTCGGTGCGGCTCGGCCCCCGGCCGCCCCGGGCCGCCGCCCCGCGGTACTTACGGGTTGCTTTGGGGCTGCGTCCGCCTCGGAGCCGCGGCCGGGCGGGGGAGAAGGGGCGGCGGGGCGGGGGCGCGGGAGGGTCGAGGGCGGCGAGGCGGCTGAGTGCAAAGTGTCGCCACCGCCGGACGCGCGACGGAGGCCTCGAACCGGCCCGGGAGCTCGCTGCTCTGGCTCGGGGTGGCGGGGACCGTGGGGTCAGGCAAGCGCGCTCGCTTCCACACAGCCCGGCGGCCCGGCCCAGAGTCCCCGTACTGCGCTTACTCCGCGCCGGGCCAGAGCTTCGCTCCTTCTACTGCGGCGCGCGCCCCGCCTCTCGTTTTATAGACTCCTCCCCGCCCCCAGCCTCTGGGAGGGGGTGCGCGCGCCCGTTCTCGTCACACAGCTGAGGCGGTGCACCGAGTCCCCGCCCCGCAGCCTGGGCGGTGCCGAGGCTCCGTTCCTGCCCTGCCCCCCGACGCCATTGGCCAAGTCCAGCCTGCCCAGGTCCTGACGCCAGCGGGGGACGGAGCGCAGAGGGCCACGCCCTCTGGGTGCCGGGACGACCAATGGGCCGACGACCCTGGGAGGCTCGAGATGGGATTGGACGAGGCCCACAGGGGGCGGGGCGGCTGGCCCCCTGACAGGAAGGGGGAGGGGAGCGGAGCAGGTGGCTACGCGGCGGGCGACGGCCGCGAGGAGTCTCCGAGGCCCGAGGAGGGTGGGGAGAGTACGCGGAGAACTTCCATCGAGTGGGACTAAGACCTAGAAAAATCCCACTCGTAGGCGAGCTACCAAGTGGGTCTCCAGCCCACCCCAGGGAGACTAGGGAAGGCGCGAACTGTGACCTGGACTCGTGCGCTGGAGCCTTTGACTGTTCATCCCCGCAGGGCCTAGGCCAACTGCCACGCCGAGAGTGACAGCTGCAGAACCCAAAGCTGCCGAGCAGGGCTGGGGGTGGGGAAGAGAGGCCACCTCACTGCACCTCCCGCCCTGGTGACAGTTTAACTGCCCCGCAGTCTCCAGCCAGACCTCTCCAGGCGACCTGGCGGCAGCTTGGAGATGGGGGTGGCTTGAGATCGTAAGAAAAATCGTTTTATTCCACAAGTCCCGGCCCAGGCCTCCGTGCCCGAGGGTGTGGTGACACGATGCCAGACTGCCTCTGGGTCTGAGTGTGCACACACGCGTGCATTTCAAGCACTTCCATCCGGGTGCACAGAATAAACACCTTGCGCTACGTGCGGGATGGTCTTGTGCTGAACTGTGTGCGGGTGTCTAGGGAGTGGGGAAGGCAGAGACTCCGGGGTGCGGCTCAGCGCCTTTTCCACAACCTGCAGCAGGGAAATACGAGTTCCACTGGGTGTGGAACGGGGCGTTCCTCTCGGCTAAAAATAATTACTCACAGGTAGCAACGACGCCTGATTGGCCGCGCTGGACCTTAGCGACCAGGCGATTGGCTGTCAGGTATCCAGGAGACGGACGTCAAACTCGGACTGGGAAAAGGGCAGAGAAAGTCTAGGGGGAGCCGAGGAGAGGAGGGGGAGAAAGCGAAGCAATGAATGGGCCGCCCATCGCCTGGCCTTCCCCTTCCCTGTCCTTGGCGCACCGGGAGAGCTTCATGGAAAAACACTGGTGATAGTGCCGCCTCGCCCCGAAAACTGCAGGGCATTTCCAACCTGCTGTCAAGATGTTAAACCGCAACTCACTGTGTAGACCGGCTGTGCTCCTCCGGGCACAAACCCGCTTTAGGGGGCCGGCCAAGGGACTTTTCGTTTTAGGGACACAAAAATCTGGATGTCGCCTTTTCCACTCCGGCCGCTGGTGCGGGTTTTTCGCCGCCTCTTTTAGAAGGAACCGCATGGAGAAAGGCTATGTCTAAAGTGTCAATGCGTGTGTGAGAAGGGGAGGGTTTGTGGAATGGGCTGGAGGTGGAGACTGGTCAGGTGATTTATTCCTGTTTATTGTACAAATTTCCTAAAACTCGGGAAGCAATTTCTTAAGAACGTAGAAGCTTTAATCAGAGTCTTTGAATTGTTTCATTTTTAGTATTTGGGCTTTTTAGTAGCAGATTAGATTGTGAAAACATGGCAAGCATTTAAAATTAAAATGCTCTTTGCTGCTCAATATTTCAATATAAACTATACGTTGTTTTCCTCATTTGTGTAATTCTTGCTTTTCCAGGATAAACATTAATTGGTCACAAAATGAGATGCTTTAGATTCTATAGTTAGTTGTAAACAGAAATTGTAAGAGTCTAGGTATGATACTTTGGAAATGACTTTACCAAGAGAAACACTTGATTTTTCTTGTTCCCTAGAAGCATCATTTATTATCAGTAGGCAAATAGTGCTACTGTACCAAACGATCAGAATTGCAGGACCATGTGTTGGGCCATGTGTCTTGATTTGTAGTTTGGAAAATAGATGACTATAATTAGGGAGCATATTAGGCTTGGCTGAGATTAAAATGTCTCACTAAAAATAGATGAATCATAATTTTGTCAAGCTTATCTGTACTTTTCAAGCATTCTCTGGAGGAAAGGAACAATATTCCTATTTTCCAAATATCCTCAATTTATAATTCCAGATGCAAAATGCTAGAGCAATTATCTGTTAAAGACTGGCTCAATATCAATAACAGCAAATTTAATTTCTAAGAAATTCAGGTGTCAAGAATATCTGAGTTAGTTGGCCATGGTGATGCACAACTGTAAATCCCAGCACTTGGATTGAGACAGAAGGATCATAAGTTTAAAGCCAGCTGTGCTATCCAGCAAGTTCCAGGCAAGCCTGAGCTACACAGTGAGACTCTAGCTTAAACAAAACAGACAGGGCCGGGCATGGTGGCGCATGCCTTTAATCCCAGCACTTGGGAAGAACAGGCAGGCGGATCTCTGTGAGTTCGAGGCCAGCCCGGTCTACATAGTAAGTTCCAGGTCACCTGGGACTACAGGGAGACCCTGTCTCAAAAAGACCAAAAAAACCCAAACAGACAAAAAGTGTTATGAATGTTATAAGTTAATTCACAGGAGAGTATAAGACCATCAAGCCAAATATAAATGTGTGCATGCACAGACACACACACACACACACACACAATATACATCTGAAATTTGATACCCATACCAAATAATGAAGCTGTCTTTCAAATAGCAGACTCTTATGCCAATCACAAGATTTACAATTCTTTTTCTCTTACTTGTTTGTTTATTTTTGAGGTAGGCTCTCACTAGGTATCCAAGGCTGGCTTCAAACTCAACTATCCTCCTGCCTTAACCTCAGGAGTGCTGGGGTTACAGGCTTATACCACTATACCCAGTTAAAACACACACACACACACACACACACACACACACACATCTACTATGTAACATTTACTTTAGAATTCTACAGCAATGTAGACTGCTAAATTATCACTTAGATTTAATATCGATTTATAGAGATAAAAAGAATTTGCTCTCAGGCTCCAGGTAGAGCAATCAAGAGAGATTCCTCTCAGGGGCTGGTGACTCAGGAATATAATGTCAGGTACTCTGGATGATAAGGCAGGAGGATTGGAAGTTCAAGACTTGCCTGGACTACAAATGAAGTTCAGGATCTACCTGGGCAACCTAGTGAAGCCATGTTTCAAAAAGCGATAAAGAGCAGACTGTAGCTAAGTGGCAGAGGGCTTGAAAAATAGAAAGAAAAGCCTCTGTCTCTCGAAACCACAGCCCCCTTTCACATCCTCACATCTTTTGGAGAGTGGTTTTATCTTATTTTTATTTTTATTTTTTATTTCTTGACACAGGGTCTCCCTTGTAGCTCCAGCTGACCTCAATCTCAGAGAGATCTGCCTGCTTCTGCCTCCTGAGTACTGGGACTAAGGGCATGCACCACCATGCCCAGTGACTGCCTCACATCTTGAAAGAGTCCCAGAAGGGTGCCCTATAATAAAGATAATACTTTTTTGGTAAATATCTAATATCATTATGAAATATAGTTCTTGGGGCTGGAGAGATGACTCAGCAGTTAAGAGCACTGGCTGATCTGCAGAGGACCCAGGTTTGGTTCCCAGCACCCACAGGGTGACTAACAACTGTCTCCAGTTCCAGGAGAATCTGATGTTCTCTTCTAACCTCTATGGTCTTTGAACAACATGGATGCATTTACATACATGCAGGCAATACACTAATACACATAAAATAAAAAACATTTTAAAAAATATGTAGTTTTTCAATGATTTTATTTTAATTATATGTATGTATGCATGTCTGTATGTAGGCATATGCACACGAGTGCACATGCCCACAAAGGCCAGAGGTGTTGGAGCCCCCTGGAGCTGGAGTTAACAGATAGGTACTGGGTAAGTCTAGTGGGTACTGGGAACCAAACTCTGATCCTCTGCAGAAGCAGTGTGAGCTCATAACCATTGAGCCATCTCTCAGCCCCAAAATACAGTGTTTGAAAGTGCCCTGAACCACACAAACACACACTCACATACACACACATACATGCACATACATCATTTCTGAGAAAAGAAAAATCCTAAATTTTCTAATTCTTACTCTGTTTTTTTGTAAACAGAAACAAAATTATTGGAGAACAGCTATTGCCTAGTGTATTTACTAAGGATCATTGCACTTCTAGAGAACTGACCTTTTGCCTTCATTAGAAAATAAGGCAGGCCGGACGTGGTGGTGCACACTTTTAGTCTCAGGAGGCAGAGGCAGGTAGACCTCTGTGAGTTCAAGGCCAGCCTGGTCTACATAGTGAGTTCCAGGCCAGCTGGGTTTACAGGAGCCCGTCTCAAGAAGATTCCCCCCAAAAAAGAAAATAAGGCAATATACAGATATGACTTATTGTTACTTATTTCTTAAATAGTTGTAACACATAAACCATAGCATATACATTTTTTTAATTTAAGATTTTTATTTTTAGTGTATATGAGTATTTTGCCTGCATATATATCATGTGCATGCAGTGCCCAAGGAGACTAGAAGAGGGCATTGGATCCCCTAGAACTGAAGTTAAGGATAGTTGTTAGCCACCACGTGGGTGCTAGTAACCTAACCTGGGTCCTCTACAAAAGCAGCCAGTGCTCTTAACTGCTGATCCATCTCTCTAACCTATATGTATGTATTTTTTTTAAATTAATAACAATTATACTCTGGGTGTGTGGGATAGCTTTAGTTGTCAACTTGACATGTGGTTAGAGGGAGCCGTAATTGGGGAATTGCTTCCATTGGACTGGCCTATGGCTACGTCTGTGGGGTATTTTCTTGATTTTTGGGTGATGTGGGAGGCCACAGCCCACTGTGGGTGGAGCCAACCCTGGGCAGGTTGT